TAATGATGTTGATTGTTGTTTGTTGTTTGCTGTTTGATGTTTGCTGCTTGCTGCTTGCTGCTTGCTGCTTGCTGCTTGCTGCTTGCTGCTTGCTGCTTGCTGCTACTGCTACTGCTACTGCTGCTGCTGCTGCTGCTACTACTGCTGCTGCTGCTGCTACTGCTGCTGCTTTTAGTACTGCTACCGCTGCAACTACTCTTGCTGCTACTCCTTCAACCACTACTGCCGCAGCCGTTACTGCTTGTTGCATCAAAGCTGCTTGAATGAATCCTAATCACCCTCATGCAGTTGCCGTCATTGTTGGTCTTAGCTTTGTTCATTCATACTGGTGGCACTGGACAGTTTTCCCTACATCTCGCGAGTCGTACGCAAGCCGGCTGTGTCGTGAACACTATCACGGTTATCAACAGCACCCATTTGCTAACTGTAAACAAGCCTTGCTCACTGGTCGATAACGCGGCCATCATGCATGATTCGCAACACCTCCCGGCTTCCACATGCCAAGTAGGCGACAACTTGCTATCGAGAAAGCAAGCTCCGGGACCGACAAGAGACCGGAAAGGTAGGAAGAAGGACTTTTCCCTCCATGCCAGTATTTATTGGAATTTCGCCACGGCTCCGGTGCCTTCAACTCGTAGACCATGTCGCCTGAGTCGGAAGATCCACCCCAACATGAGAAGTTGAAGTGACAATTTCACTCCTGGGGCAAAAAACCCAGACCCTCACAGCTACCTCATTTCTCCTTCCAAAACTGAAGGCGATGCCCGCTTTGAATGTGATGCCAAATGTGCCGCGGCGTGCCCACTTCAAGATCATCGAAAGCATGGTGTTGGGGGCTTGTGGATTAGTGCTCTGGGATTTGGCTACTGGCTGAAGACTGAGAGTGTTTACGACTGACAGAAGCTAACAGGTCTGTGTGAGCATGTGGGCCACAGTCCTAAATCAAAGCTGAAGGGCAGGGAAACCTCAAGCGCTCGAAATCTGGCGGACACTCCACGTCCAGGCATGTCCAGGCTCATGGCCAGCAAGACCGGCAAGGTCAATGAAGCTTGCTGTGCTGGACCTTTCTTGCAGCTCTGGTACGACTCGACACATGTTGTAGCTTCGGGGTTTTCAGCTTCGGATGCTCGCCCGGAGCTGCCACTCTCGGCCCCGGACGTTGAGGCCAACTCTTCATAAGCTGCTCCTATCAAGCTGGGTCTCTGGGAAAGCCCTACTACGTTGCCCTTTCGGGTCATGTACGGCTGACTGAACTTCCGAACAGAGGGCAGCGGAAAGTCGCTGTGACACCAGCATACTTGGGTCTGGCCTCCTGTGGTGGCCAATACCCGGTAGCCGATAAGGGGCTCTCCACCAGAGAGGTTGGCCAGCTGAAGGTGGCAGATGGCTAGGTGGGGCTTGGGGCCGTCTGGTCCAGGCATTGAAGTTTGGCTTCAAGGTTTTGTACTTGCATTCAATTTGAAGCTTTTTCCTTAGGGCGTAGGTCTTTCCTGGTCCAGACTTCTGGTTCAAATGGTAGGTTTCGGGGCGTCGGACTGTCACATCTACATTTGTTGCACCTGAATAAGATCACTGCAACCGAAGGCAAAAGGACAACGTCTTGATAGCCGCTGACTTCGATCCAGAAACGTCTGAGGGATGGGCCCAAGTGAGCGTCAAGCTGCAATTTGTCACCTCTCATGCATGCTCCAACGCAAGCCATCGGCATCTAAAGAGACGAGGCTACTGAATCTGCTCCACAAGCTGGGACATAAATGCTTGTTTGGCAGGGGCTTTGCCTGCAAACAGAAGCCTGACGAATATTGACCACAAAGGAGGGCTGTTCTCCAAGCGGACTGGCTGCAAATGGGTCACTTTCAAAACGCCGCCAAATTGTGGTTGTAGCTTGAGATGCACATATGTCTTTATGTATGATTATAACTTTGTATGTATGTATGCATGTATGAATGAATGCATGCATGTATATATGTATGTATGCAACCATGCATGCACGAATGCAAGCACGTATGTACCGTACGTACGTACGGCTGGACCGGACGGACGGACGGACCGACGGACGGTCGCATGGACGCACGCACGGGCGCACGGACGCACGGCACGGACGTGCGGGCGCAAGGAAGCACGTACACACGAACGCACGGACGAACGGACGGACGGACGGACG